AAAGTGGTATATCTATGATAAGAAATATCCGAAGGGTCAACATCTGTCATTAGATGTATGGTCCAATAAAATTTCCTATTACTGCCTACACGCTGCACCAACGCCTCCTGGGCAACACTATAGTGTCATTTCAAAGGTCAGTATGACTATTAACCGGACACTAGCACGAGACAGCAAATGGAAAAGTTACGGTTAGAGAAATATTTTGAACACTGATTGAAATTATTAATTTTGAAAACACGTAAAAAGAATCTCTGACCGCCTCCACTGTGTATTTGCCTATACATTAAAGTTCCTATATATATGTCATAATTGTATCCGTGACAGGTGTGTACACTACCAACGTATGTCATAAGTGTATCCGTGACAGGTGTGTACACTACCAATGTATGTCATAAGTGTATCCGTGACAGGTGTGTACACTACCAATGTATGTCATAAGTGTATCCGTGACAGGTGTGTACACTACCAATGTATGTCATAAGTGTATCCGTGACAGGTGTGTACACTACCAATGTATGTCATAATTGTATCCGTGACGGGTGTGTACAGTGTTTCTCTAGGATGGAATCTTTAATTAAAAGACGACAATACAAAACAATAAAGCTGTGATATTAATTGGTAAATTGTACATAATAATTGATGTATGTATGTTAGAAATAATTATGATATAGGATAACAGGTAATCATATGATATATATATATATTATGCATAACAAACCACACCAACCCGACATCCCCAAAAAAGGATGTCCGGAAGTTGCACTGATAGAGAGCTGGATATTTTCAAGATCGTAGTGGCAAATTATCTATAATGTTATATGAACACGCAATTATACACATGGGTAGGAATTGTATATAGGGTATATATTAAACATAGGTACAAATTTCTGCAGATCAGCATATCTCGATGTATATATATATACATTCTCAACAAAAAAAGAAATGCACAATTAAATTATGCAATCAATAGCCTATGATCTTTTGTGAAATTTGTACAAAATTTTATATCATTGTGAAGCGACAAGTCTACTCTTTACAAATCTGTTGAGGAAAAGTCTGTGTGACGTCACTCGTGTCGTCAGTAGTTTCTCAAAGTGGAATACCCGCGAAAAATCGAACGACACTTCAGTACTTGGTGTGGGTACCTCTTCCAAGAATACCTGCACGGATACTCCTATGCAATGAATTCATAAGAACATTAATTCGCCTAAAAATCTATTTTTTGTGTATGTGTTCGATAGAGACCTCGTTCAATCTGTTTATTTTGGTTAACAGGCGATATATTTGTAACATGGCACAGGTTCTCTGTCGGATGTTTTCACAATAAAGTTTATGAAGGACGCTTCTCCCAAAAACTGTGCTTTAAAATACACATCAATGTTGATATTGTTGCCTAAGAACGATTATGGTACCAAAATCTTATTTACATCTGATATAAAAAGCATCAATTCCAGTATCTCTCATGTTGATGTGTTTACAGTCACAATTTAACAATAGAAATTGTTACATTGTATTACTATTAATTATATTGGACATGGATGTAGAAATGAATCCAGGCCCTTTTGACAATGAATTGTCAGTATTTCACTTGAATGTGAGAAGTATCAGAAACAAATTCGAATACATTGAAGATATTACTGATAAATTTGATATTGTATGTTTTACTGAAACACACCTAGACCAACACGTGTCTTTTTCTCAGGTGGTGGTGTTTTAGTCTTTTACTAGAAATTATTAAAGTGTATTCGCAGAGATGATCTGGAATTCCAGGGTGGAAATACAATTTGGGTACAGAACGAAATAGCAAATCAAATTTTATTAATTTATAACTTATAATAACTATTTATAACTAATTTGTAAACAGACCAGAAAATTCACGCCACCAGTTTTGGGAAAATTTTGTATTGAGAAAGCTGTAGAAATTACTGGAAATGTTACATTAGTTGGTGATGTAAATGTTGATATCTTGTATTTATCATAAAACCATATCTTAAATCAAATTATGTAGGAACTGGACTTAACCAGTGTTATCTATGAACCCACCAGGGATGACCTTACATAGTTTACTTGATCCCATTTTATTAAGTGATCTTTCTGTGTGCAGCGATTCACTTTAATTGCTAATGACCGCGGTATCAGTGATCACGACGCTTGCGTAGTATTCTTGTCTCTACCCGTTAAACCTTTCTCGTACGTATTTACGAGAAGTTAGGGCAAATAAACAGGCTGATTTTAACTAGCTATATATATCAAACGATACAGTTGTCAGGGTAACACTGTTTCAAATTGTATTTCAGTTGACAAGCATTGAATTTACTGAACAGTATTTAGTATTCGTAGAAAAAAATAAGCCAGATTAGACCTCGTGATAAGTTATGGATGAATACCGATCTCAGAAAAGCTATGCGGTCACGTGATATGATACATAAAGCAGTTAAACGTGTCTATTTCCAACATCGAGAAATTTAAGACAGCGGAATAAAGTCAATAATAGGCAAAAGCACGCAAGGGAAATGTTTTATTTTAGCGTTGGTGATATAACAGATAACCACTAGTAATCCTAATACATACTGGAGATTAGTTAGGAAATTATTTAAGCAGTCTGGAAATCAGAATCTTATTCCACTTTTAATTGATAATGTTAACGGAAATATACAACTAAGTGATTTTGGTAACGCTAATATTTTAGATAATTATTTTTGTTTTATATCTACATTGAATGACAGTGACAAACTTTCACCCGTATTTAATTCCCGAAAAGTTTTCAGTGTTTGATGCCATCGTAGTTAGTAGTGAGGAAATATGTGATATTTTAAATGTTTTAGAATAAGGAAAATCCTCTGGTCACGACAGCTTAAATCACCATATGTTAAGTACTGCAAGTTCTATATGTAAGCCATTAGCTATTCATTTTATAAGTCGTTCAGCTCGTCTACATTTCCAGAAGTTTACAAAGAGGGTTTAGATGTGCCGTTATTTAAAAAAAGGATATACATGTAGTATTTACTTATAGACCGATTACGTTCTTATCTTGTATATCTAAAGCTATTGAAAGAGTTGTATTTAAGTATATATATAACTCATTGTTTTATGAGAAAAAGTCCGGTTTCATGATGCAGCATTCCACTGTCCACCAATGTATCATACATTTAATATATGATGGTCCCTTGAAGAAAAACAAACATACTTGCCTAATATTTTGTGACATATTAAAGGTATTTGACAGGGTTTGGCACAAGGGTTTATTAACAAGATTGAATACAAATAGTGTAAAAGATATTTTATTAAACCGGATAAAACATTATATATATGATAGGTAACAAAAGGTTATTGTTAAAAATTAATATTCACACAGGTAAACAAGTGCTGGCGTTCCACAAGGAAGTGTATTAGGGCCACTTTTGTTTTTAATATATATAAACAATATTGTTGATAACTTGAGTAGCATTTCTCGTCTGTTCGCTGATGATACTCTATGTCTCTTCGTCTTCTGATGATGGTATTGAAATGCTCCTCAACAGAGATTTAGATATCGATAGTCGAACGATTGACTTACAAAATTTAATCCTCAAAATACAGAAGTGTTATCAATGTCTGATTCTGTTAACAATCCACCCTTACAGTCCTCGTTTGGCGATGAAGTGTTGAAAGTCACAGGCACTTAAGTGTAACATTTAGATGCAATGTGGTCCCTAAATATTACAAACATTTGAAAATCGTGTTTTGAAATGTAGCAGTGTTGCGTAAGTTGTTTTTTTGTTAAGAAAGAAAACTTTTTTGAGAATACATAAAGCATTTGTATTTAGTGCTAAATAAATAGATGGCTCGCATACACTCAGAAACATCGCAATGAAATCCTTTTAACTTAATTTTAATGGTGGAGCAAGCATGTTGCCCGGATAGATATCCTCTAGATTGTATCTAGAGCAAGGAAACACATCATTACCTCCCATGCAGTAAAGGTTGTCGGAGGTATCCCGGATGTACGCGGACATGATACTGAAACCGCTGTCCGTGATGACAAGTAAGTCACATGTTGTCAAGGTGTAAAAATCCACCATACTTGTCATAAATACATCACATCCTACTGAACCGTGATCCATATTTCCCAGCGTACCCGACAAGGTGATGATGTCATACCCTTGAAGAAATTTAATGCCAGCATCCCGCACATATTGCTGATCGGATGCTATGAATATATCATATTTAGAACGGTCTAATTTTGAAAGAAATTTCCAAATTTTTGAAAAATCTCTGGGTTTATTACCAATGTCTCCCGCGCGCGAATGTGAGCATGCTAATAATTTATGCTTTCTTCTTTCCTGAATCTCAGCAAATTTGTCTAGAACAGTTTTGCCGGGTTTAAAAAGGTAATGATACAGTTCGGAATATATATCAGCGTATTGTAGTTTTGAAACCCAAGGAAAATCTCCAGCGATGTTTGGTCGTTTTCTAAAGTCCCGTGTCATATCCCAATTCATTCGGATAAAAGTGACATTTTGTAGAAACGCATTTTCAAGATGATTAGTCGTTACAGTCTGGACTCTGAGTTTGTAGGAGTTATTGTCAATCAAATTCATATACTGGGTGTTTCGTGGTACTTTAGATTCGTCAATTTTCCAGTTATATTTGTTAGGTTCAAGAAAAGTGTCAAAAGCACACGGTTTATCATGATTAATCTTGAAGTGTCGGCGTGCTACGATGGCTATTCCAAATGTACTTAGTATACCGGACAGTCTGTCTGACCATCCGCCACACAGACCCATGTGTCGTTTACTGCAGTCATACACTATATATCCATTTAACGGACGATCCTCAGGAAAAAACAAGTGACCTGTGCTTGACCCTTCATTCACCTTTTGGTCGTCTGAATGAATTCCAGGCACGTTATTGATATCCGAGAGTTTCTTGTCCGTATGTGGATATCCTTTGTTAGGAATTTTATTGGAAGTCATGATAACCATGATCCTGGAGACAATGGTGACTACGGTTACCATGATTATTATAATTCTCAGTTTACGTGATTTCATTCGACGTGAAAGCTGGTGAAACAATAAAAATGGAGCATTGTTTAATGGATTGAAAATGTGAATGACACAAGTATAACTTCAATCAGATGACTATTGAGATGTAAAATCATTTCTTAAAGACAAAAATACATTTTTACATGTTCTCTTAACGTTCCTTGCTAACGAGCTTCTTCTGAGATTTTGATTCAAACGTGCCATTTTACACATGAAGTAAGGCTGTCGACAATGTAAAGCGTAGCATGTTCACCTTTACTATGGTGTTGTATAGATAGATTTATCCATTTTGAAGTGAATTAAAACTAGGTATATGTGCATCATGTTTATAAGATATTTGATGGATTTTCTCCAATACTTTCAGCTGAAAACTTGAGATAAACCGTTATCAGAGTATTTTAAACTTACCATAATGATGATAATGTGTGGGTCTTGCACGTGATGTGTTGGGTAGAGCAGGAAGCAAGTAACTGGAAACATAACGTATGTATATATATATATATATATATATATATATATATATATATACACACACTTGTACGCATTATTATTAAAGTATCACATTAAATGTTGAAGTATAGACAAAATTACGAACGACATTTGATTCTATAACAATCCATTAGTACTTAAATTACCATGGTATGGAGTATATGACTTGAAGAAACGGTCATTGCTACGGCCTGTTGGTTTTGCTCTTTACAATGACTGAGTTTGATACAAGTTCAATAACTTGTATCCAATCCCTTTGTTTTAATACAATATGTTTAAACAAACTACAAACAAACAACTTGCCTTTTCAGACCAGTTGGTGAATTGTGAAGAAGTGTATGCCACGTCACTAAGATTGTGAATTCGTGTATACATGACAAGACAAAAAGACACATTAACCTGACATTTTTTTTGTATAGAAATTATCTTGATAAATCAAATGGTCTTTTGATGTTGACCACAACAAATACATAGCTTGCCGTGACACTTGATGGGTAAAATCGTGGTCACCCAAGCGGTTAATGACGGAGCTTATTCTACAAAAAAAGTTAAAGAATGTTGAAGGGAGTGAAACGTTTAAACAATGGAAAATAATGAAAGTATTGTTATGATAAAATGCATTGAAATAAGTAAGAGTACAGTAAACACAGTATATAACGTGTAAATACGACAAATTAAGGGACAAATGTATAGTTAGACTCTCATCAAATACATTAAAGTACATCAGGAAGCACGCCGGATGACGCTGAAGTATTCGCAACCAAATTAAAGCAAGTTAAACTAGGACGTCCGCTAAAGTACGTTAAACTAATGGTACTGGAGGACGTCTGCTACAGTACGCTAAACTACTGGTATTGGAGGACGTCCGCTAAAGTACATTAAACTAGCACGCTAAATTGCTGGTATTGGAGGACGTCCGCTAAAGTACGTTAAACTAATGGTACTGGAGGACGTCTGCTACAGTACGGTAAACTACTGGTATTGGAGGACGTCCGCTAAAGTACGTTAAACTAGCACGCTAAATTGCTGGTATTGGAGGACGTCCGCTAAAGTACGTTAAACTACTGGTACAGGAGGACGTCCGCTAAAGTACGTTAAGATTACTGGTACAGGAGGACGTCCGTTAAAGTACGTTAAACTACTATTACACTGACACCCGTACTAAATCATCCTACACTGACATCCGTACTAAATCCCCCTACACAGACATCCGTACTAAATCTCCCTACACTGACACCAGTGCTAAATATCCTTATAACGGTACCCGTATTAAATCTCCGTACACTGACAACCGTGCTAAATCTCCTTACAATGGCACCCGTACTAAATCTCCCTACACCGACACCAGCACTAAATCCCCCTACCTTGACACCCGTACTTAATCCCCCTACACTGACACCCGTACTTAATCTCCCTACACCGACACCAGCACTAAATCCCCCTACACTGACACCCGTTCTAAATCCCCCTACACTGACACCCGTGCTAAATCATCCTACACCGACACCCGTACTAAATCTCCCTACACTGACACCCGTACCAAATCCCCCTACAGTGACACCCAGGCTAAATCACCCTACACCGACACCCGTACTAAATCTCCCTACCCTGACACCCGTGCTAAATCATCCTACACTGACATCCGTACTAAATCTCCCCACACTGACACCCGTGCTAAATCACCCTACACCGACACTCGTACTAAATCTCCCTACACTGACACCCGTACTAAATCATCCTACACTGACACCCGTACTAAATCACCCTGCACCGACACCAGTGCTAAATCTCCCTACACTGACACTCGTACTAAATCTCCCTACACTGACATCCATACTAAATCTCCCTACACTGACATCCGTACTAAATCTCCCTACACCGAAATCCGTACTAAATCTCAGTACACTGACATCCGTACTGAATCTAAGTACACCGACACTCGTACTAAATCTCCCTACACTGACACCCGTACTAAATCATCCCCCTACACTGACACCTGTGCTAAATCATCCTACACTGACACTCGTACTAAATCCCCCTACACTGACATCCGTGCTAAATCCTCCTACACCGACACCCGTGCTAAATCCCCCTTCACTGACATCCGTACTAAATCTACCTACACTGACACCCGTGCTAAATCATCCTACATTGACATCCGTATTAAATCTCCCTACACTGACACCCGTGCTAAATCATCCTACACTGACACCCGTACTAAATCCCCCTACACTGACATCCGTGCTAAATCCTCCTACACCGACACCCGTACTAAATCCCCCTTCACTGACATCCGTACTAAATCTACCTACACTGACACCCGTGCTAAATCATCCTACATTGACATCCGTATTAAATCTCCCTACACTGACACCCGTGCTAAATCATCCTACACTGACACCCGTACTAAATCCCCCTACACTGACATCCGTGCTAAATCATCCTACATTGACATCCGTACTAAATCTCCCTACACTGACACCCGTGATAAATCACCCTTCACCGACACCCGTGCTAAATCATCCTACACTGACACCCGTACTAAATCACCCTGCACCGACACCCGTATTAAATCATCCTACACTGACACCCGTACTAAATCCCCCTACACTGACATCCGTACTAAATCTCCCTACACTGACACCAGTGCTAAATATCCTTACAAAGGCACCCGTATTAAATCTCCGTACACTGACAACCGTGCTAAATCTCCTTACAATGGCACCCGTACTAAATCTCCCTACACCGACACCGAAAGACTGTTTCCTCGTGTTATTTTGTTAATGTTCGGGACTAGTAAACCCTCAGAGACAGCACTATCATATCCTCATACTCCCTCTTAGAGTCGGCAATGATCTTAGAAACGTCTGCTCTCAGTGGTCCTTTTTTTAGTAACAGTATTTCTCGCAGACCTCCCACCCTACCTTGGCTTTGGAGTTATACAGCTTACCGTGGTCCTTTTTAGTATCAGTAGTTCTCGCAGACCTACCACCCTACCTTGGCTTTGGTGTTATACAGCTTACCGTGGTCCTTTTTAGTATCAGTAGTTCTCGCAGACCTACCACCCTACCTTGGCTTTGGTGTTATACAGCTTACCGTGGTCCTTTTTTTAGTAACAGTAGTTCTCGCAGACCTACCACCCTACCTTGGCTTTGGTGTTATATAGATTACCGTGGTCCTTTTTTTAGTAACAGTAGTTCTCGCAGACCTCCCACCCTACCTTGGCTTTGGTGTTATATAGCTTACCGTGGTTTTTTTTTTAGTAACAGTAGTTCTCGCAGACCTACCACCCTACCTTGGCTTTGGTGTTATATAGCTTACCGTGGTCCTTTTTAGTATCAGTAGTTCTCGCAGGCCTACCACCCTACCTTGGCTTTGGTGTTATATAGCTTACCGTGGTCCTTTTTTAGTAACAGTAGTTCTCGCAGACCTCCCACCCTACCTTGGCTTTGGTGTTATATAGCTTACCAGTATCAGTAGTTCTCGCAGGCCTACCACCCTACCTTGGCTTTGGTGTTATATAGCTTACCGTGGTCCTTTTTAGTATCAGTAGTTCTCGCAGGCCTACCACCCTACCTTGGCTTTGGTGTTATATAGCTTACCGTGGTCCTTTTTAGTATCAGTAGTTCTCGCAGGCCTACCACCCTACCTTGGCTTTGGTGTTATATAGCTTACCGTGGTCCTTTTTAGTATCAGTAGTTCTCGCAGGCCTACCACCCTACCTTGGCTTTGGTGTTATATAGCTTACCGTGGTCCTTTTTTAGTAACAGTAGTTCTCGCAGACCTACCACCCTACCTTGGCTTTGGTGTTATATAGCTTACCGTGGTCCTTTTTAGTATCAGTAGTTCTCGCAGGCCTACCACCCTACCTTGGCTTTGGTGTTATATAGCTTACCGTGGTCCTTTTTAGTATCAGTAGTTCTCGCAGGCCTACCACCCTACCTTGGCTTTGGTGTTATATAGCTTACCGTGGTCCTTTTTTAGTAACAGTAGTTCTCGCAGACCTACCACCCTACCTTGGCTTTGGTGTTATATAGCTTACCGTGGTCCTTTTTAGTATCAGTAGTTCTCGCAGGCCTACCACCCTACCTTGGCTTTGGTGTTACATAGCTTACCGTGGTCCTTTTTTTAGTAACAGTAGTTCTCGCAGGCCTACCACCCTACCTTGGCTTTGGTGTTACATAGCTTACCGTGGTCTTTTTTTTAGTAACAGTAGGTCTGCGAGAACTCTCATGGTCATTTATTCAGTTCTTAAAAGTTCTGACAACAACATATACAGAAAATGTTTGACCAGGATGAGGTAATAGATTAATATAAATAAGCTACAACGTCATATCTTAGACTTTCGTGATTTTATATATATAAAATATAGTTTTCCTTGGGGGAAACATGCCCTGGTTCCAACCCTTTAGTGGAAGAAATGACCCTTTAACGTCGTTAAAGTTTGCCGGTTGTCGCTTTGTCTATGTTGATTGTGTTCTCAT